TAATATAATACGGAAACAGCTTTACATACGGTATTAAAATAGCAGAATATTTCGAAATTAAGCACGATAATGTAGAATACACGTACACAACACAAACTGACAACCGATTTTGTGACCTATATCAGGGCGTCCTAGTTTACGCTTTCTGGTTGCCTAGTTTTTCAATTTTTACCATTTTTTTGCCTAAAATTGGAAAATTTATGAGATTGGGTTCCCAGGCACAACTGGCCTCATTTGGAACCCTGATACAATTTGATCATGTCATACGACTGCACGAAGTCCGACCTGATCAAACTTGATCAAAATAATATCTCAATTGTTGTAAACATAAATAATGTATTATGTATATGTGCCATGTAGGCACAATGTATAATCTTGCCGATCTCAATTAAAAATTGTGGCATTGTAGCCTACATGGATTCAAGTCATTCTTACCCGTTCAAAATGCAGGCGATACGCAGCAACAATTGACGCGATATTCCTGTTTGTGATCATAGCTCCCTTCGGTTTACCTGTGAAATAGTAATATTGAAATGATCATGCTAAACAAAGAAGCTAAAATACAGATAAAGATCACGTGATCACTTTTATATTCTTAGCATAAAAACTCGTGTAATTTTCCAGACCCCCGCTAGTAACTCAAGACGACGGCCTTCGCTCGCAATGTCGAAATTCTCCTTATATTTTTCAGGTAGTTGCATCCCTACCAACCAAAGCTTGTCTATAGTTCAACCCATGTACCTTGGACATGGCAGTCGGAAAATAACCAACCGAATTTGTAGCACAAGAAAAAACACCGAAAAGAGCAATATAACATTCGTGTAACGTCCTTGTTTCGAAATAATGTCTCTTGCTTCCTCAAGCTCGATATGTTGTCAACGTTAAACTCAAAGACAAGAATTCTTTGTTTAGTCGGATATTATAATGGCAATTGAACGCATATAATTAAACGTAAATCCTTTAGATATCTGCACTTTATCTAAACTAATACCAGTTATAAAAATAGTGAAATCATATAGTTTGAAGTTTCACTAGTTCCACAAAACATGCTTTGATATTCACGGACACAATATACTGAGACTTCGGGCCAATCTAATTCGAAAATTTGGATCAATTCTGACGGAGATCCATTCTGACCGAGATCCATTTTCACTAGATTTTCGCCTGAACTAGATCTTTCCATTAATAAAGAGAGAGAGAGAGAGAGAGAGAGAGAGAGAGAGAGAGAGAGAGAGAGAGAGAGAGAAATTCTGGTTTGACCGGTCTCGCCATTAAATGGAAAGAGCCCTTAGTAATCAGTTTTTTGCCCACCCCGGACCTATAAAAAATTTCCAATTTTTTTGCCCACCACGGACCTATCACAAATTTCCAATCTTTTTGCCCATCCCGGACCTATGAAAAATTTCCAATTTTTTGTCCACCCCCGACCTATCAAAAATTTCCAATTTTTTTGCCCACCCCGGACCTATCAAAAATTTCCATTTTTTTTGCCCACCCCGGACATATAAAAAATTTCCAATTTTTTTGCCCACCCCGGACCTATCAAAAATTTCCAATTTTTTGCCCACCCCAGACCTGTCAAAAATTTCCAATTTTTTGCCCAACCCGGACCTGTCAAAAATTTCCAATATTTTCTCAATAGGGAATGGTAATAGCAGTAATAACACTTACCCGTTGTCCCACTTGTAAAACAAACGGTAAAAACATCTTCGGGTTTGCCGGGCTAAAAAAAATTAAATTATAATATAACAATTAAGGCATCAGAAAATGTCCGTTGTTGCAGTAAAGAAAACGCAGGATAGTGCTGTTTTTTAAAGAAAACAACAAACGCACGCATTTAATCAAATCACGTGTGTTGGGCGTGGTAATTGCAACGAGGGAATCAGGCTATTTTCAAGACACTTAGACCTCAGGCTATTTTCAAGACACTTAGACAGGCTATTTTCAAGACGCTATCTTCAACAACAACAACAACAACAACAACAGCAACAACAAAAACAACAACAACAGCAACAACAAAAACAACAAAAGCAACAACAGCGGCGGCGGCAATAGCAACAGCAACAGAAACAGCAACAACAACAACAACAACAACAACAACAACAACAACAACAACAACAACAACAACAACAACAACAACAACAACAACAACAACAACAACAACAACAACAACAACAACAACAACAACAACAACAACAACAACAACAACAACAACAACAACAACAACAACAACAACAACAACAACAACAACAACGGACTCGAGGTGCCAACAGGCAAACCACGCACGTTAATTACAACTAATTTTACACTAAGACACCAAAAACTACACATAAAAGTTATCTAACTACTACTGAGCAGCATACGCCATTTTCGTATTAAGGCTGATTTCCACTCTTGCGTTTTTCATACGTACGTATACGCACGTAAAACTTTAAATCTGTTTAAATGTTACTCATGAAATAACCAAATAGATAAATAAATAAAGCAACAGAATTTAGTGTTCCGCAAGTTTTAGTATGCATTTGTTAACTTACTTGTAAAATATTTAAAAAATAAAAGGATTCAAAGTTTTACGTGCGTATGCGTGCGTACGAAAAACGCAACAGTGGAAATCAGCCTTAAGGCTAATTTCGGAAGTCTAACTTGGACCTAATGACTGGAAATAAGTTCGTAATTTTAGTTTTACATCTGTTTTCAAAACTACGCAACATACCCGAAAATAATATCAGTTCAAATGTCAGTTTTATGTCACGCGAACTGCTAAAATAACAAACGTAAACAAAAGACGTTTTAAACCGTTTTTAACACCTAAAGATGAATGTTGACCCAAAATAAGCTTCGTATACACAGTAAAAGAAACAACAGACCTACACAACAATGAACAGGAGCAGCTTCGAAAAATACAATCATACACCCTTGGGCAGAGATTTGACCCGAGTTACGGGGTCCAGTTATCGAAACCTACTTCATGTATATATACTGTATATATTGCAGGGTGATTGATACCATGCATACATTGTAACGTATATCGGGTAAATGTTCAAATTTTGGGGACATCTCGCCCGATAGAACAGATTGTTCGATTCCTGACTTTTTGAATACGTATTTGTATATAATCAATATAAATACATTGCGTCAATTTGGAATGGATCTTCTCCGTCGACATTGCCTTTCTGACATTTATCACATTGAGTTAAAACATGGATTAGGTCATTCATATACTAACTAAAGGATTAAATTTCCATCAAATCTTCGAGCGACAACTGAAAATTGCGCTCATATATTGAAGATAAAAGGATTTAATTTTTCAAGTAAGGTATTGCTCTTAAGTTTATAACATAATGTCGAAAAGTAACAATGGAATTCAACTACTGGTTTGTTAAAAAGGTAAAAACTTACTGATTTTTCTTTCCGATTATTGTTACCCAATTCCTGAAAAAGAATTTTTGAGTTTTTGGTTACTTTCATTGTAGAACTAAACTAAAACTAAACTTACTTCAACATTTTATAACTATTCCTAGCATTTCTTGTTGAGATAAGTACTTTTAGTGTTTAAAGTTTAAACTATATTTATATGGTTGATATTATTTAGTATAAATTAGCATAAAGTACCGTAATACAGTTAATATATACAGTACATCGGACACGTGACTATACGTTCGTTGAACGTTATTTTGATACGCCATTATCGGTGTAGTTGTTGTTTTCAAGCGGGAAAACTATATTTTGTGAACCTTTTAGTTTCTTTTACAACAATAAATGACATAATCTAACAGGTTATTGGCCCAGGATCGTGGTAATGGATAGCCAAACGATAAAATGGCTAGTTTTTAACGGAAAAGCTGAAAACTACCCAGCATGGAGCACAAAGTTCACCGCGTATATGCAAACGAAAGGTTTATACAAAGCGCTTCTCGGGAAAGAAGTCGCACCGGAAGAGATAGCACCGCTAGCAGGGGATGCTTCAGACGAGCAGAAGGCCGAATGGGAGGCAAAAGTTCAACAAAGAAATAAGCAAATCGAATAAATTAAAGAAAGAAATAATACGGTATGGTGTCATATTGTTTTAGCCCTCGACAATAATAGTCTTTTATATATAAGACATGATTGCCTGTCATCAGATGGTGTTGAGGACGGGGCAAAGGCGTGGCATTTGCTACAACAGAGATATTCAAACGTGGAAAAGCCAACTGTAGTAAGTCTAGTTCGTCAAATGTCTTGATTACAGTTAAATGAAAATGAAAAATTATCCGAATAATTTATACAAGCGTAAGAATTAATGTCTCGATTAACCGAAGCTGGTGAAAAGATATCAGAAACACTATTCAATGCCTTAGTTGTAAACGGACTTCCGGAGAAATATGAGCACTTCATCGTACAGGAAAGTTTTAATCCTGCAGCAAATTTCACCGAATTACGAACACGTTTACAAAATTATGATGATATTCGACTACAAAGAAATCAAGCAAAAGAAGATAGTGCAACAGCTATGTATTCTGGAAATACGTCAGGAAGAAACAAATGTCCAACCAAGCCGAAGGGAGATTGTTTTGTATGCGGAAACCCTGGACATTTCGCCAAACAATGTAGTAAAAGAAGTTCAGCTT